GTGCATATTGAACATAATTTTCATATGCACTTAAATTCATACTACAATATGGTTTATAACGAACAGCTGATTCAAATAATTCGTAAAGCTTCATACAATTTTTTATCGTACAAAAAAAAAGGAAAAAAAAAGTTTAATTTAGACATATTTTTATTTACGTTCTATTTGATAAATAAAGACTACGTTTTACATATTGAAATTCATAACAACGACCAATCATTATATCTTTGAGATCGCATGTTATTCCATTTGTTTTTATATATGAACTATTGCAAGGATTTATCTCGTTGATTTCAGATATTGCTCTCATATCATTTTGATTGTTATTAATATTTTGAGTGGGCTGATCAAATGGTTGATAATCACGATAAATACCACTTAATTATGTTGATCAAGATGAATTTCGAATGATTGTTGATCTACAGTGAATGGGTGTGGATGTGGGTGTGAGTGTGGGGTGTGCGTGTGGGTGTGGGAGGGTGTGGGAGGGTGTGGGTCTGGGGTGTGGGTGGGGTTGGGTGTGGACTTGGATATACTCTTCAACCTCATCTATACCCACATCACACACCCACCCACACCCACACCCCCCACCTCCACCCCACACCCTCCACCACACCCCATACCCACCACCACATCTACCACACCCACATCCACACCCACACCCACACCCACATCCGCACTCACACCACACACCCATCACCACATCCACATCCGCACTCACACCACACACTCACTCACACCTCCACCCCACACCCTTCACCACACCCACCTATAATATAACGAGCGGATAGCCTGGCCTCCCTTGTATCCATCCGCGAGAGGCCAAAATCGGTCACCATTTGTGTTCAAACGATAGAAAGATTTTTCTGAATACTACTCACTAAGTTTTTTCAAAATCTTGATATCTAACACATTGCTTCGTAAAAGTTTTAAGTGGCCTTTGTCTTCATCACATGGTTTATTAACCTCCGGAATATTTTTTCTATTGCAAAATGTTATCATAAGTCATATGTTGAACTTATTTTGTTGAGAATGAATTATCATCTTCAGAAAGTTCTCTTCATCGTTTATTTTATTGCTGTTCTCATTGGAATAATTTCCTAAATCCAGATCGCTCAATTGAAAAGAATTTTAAGATGTTTACGTAAATTTACCGTAAAAGTGGATACTCATCAATATCAACCGTACTATAGCTAATATAATCATTATTCTCATGGTCATTTAGATATACTTCCATCTGCTCAACATAAATATCGACCTTCTTAAATATTGTCTCATATTGTTTTATGTAATTGATATAAATGGTTGCGCCTTTTGCACTTAAGCCATAAATCATTCCTGTACCAGTGTGCTCACTTCAATCGCAGTAAACTTGACGTTTCTATCACGTATTGATGTTTTCATATTGGTACAGGTTAACTCTATGCAATGTAAGACACAGTGTCTCTCAAAAGAGATGTAGATAGCACAATGATTGCAAAAACCACATCACCTATGCTCGCACCCATACTCACATCACTCGTGAATCCCACATGTACTCACCTAAATCCAATGAGTGCTCTTCAAACACGCTTTCTTAGGAAAAAAATATTCCGAAGGTTAATAAATCATGTGATGAAGACAAAGACCACTCAAAACTTTTACTGGGCAATATGTGTTAGATATCAAGATTTTGAAAAAACCTGGTGGATAGCTTTCAAGAAAATTTTTCTATCTTTTGAACACAAATGGTGACCGATTTTGGCCTTTCGCGGTTGGATAGAGGAGAGGTCAGGTTATCTGTCCATTATATTATAGTTAATAAACTATTTCGTTTCCAAAGCGAATTAAGCTCATCTTCAAAACTCACGATATATCCATGAAGAAAAGTGAGAGAAATTTTGTATCGTCTTTATAAAAAGATAGAGCAATGTCAACTTTAGGTAATGCGCAAAAATTCAAGTTACTTCTCTCTTTCTGTGTTCAGGTTATTCGAAAAATACCTACGGTCATTCAACCCTGAAATAGATATTAGTAGAAGAAGGTATAGGTGTTGGTCTTATTTTCATCTGCAAACATACGCACACATTCAGAATTGGGATTTTAAGTTTGATTAGACACGATTGAAATTCTAATATTGATTATATACTTATCAATCAGGACTGAAATATCAGTTTTGTCTAGTCAATATTACAATTCGCCGACGACATATACGTGAAAATTAACGATCATGGTCTTTAAGGTACTATTCGGAACTTTCAGAAACAAGTAAAGTCTATCGAGACTTGATTCGCTTGGCCCTAAACTTAGTGAGTAAAAATGTACATATAGATACATTTAAATATAAAAGTAAATTAAGTAACGTACTAGATAAACAGAAGAGGTTGTTTGACATATAACTGTGATTCGTTTCATAAAATCGATTTTGAATGTGTTACACTTGAAGGATGGCGTTCAGTTTATAAACGCCATGTGATTGTTTTTTTCTACAGAAATTCTTCAGATTTGTTGATAGCTGTAATGCTGTAACATTGTTTGCTTTGATTCTTTAATGCTATTCTTAAAAATTTATTTTTAATCATTTGTATTTCAAATTGCTGAATTTCTATGAATGATATGCACTTATAAAGAGTAATGCATTGGTTTTTAAAAATTTTATACTTTAACTTTGAATATTTTAGAAAACTTCAAATTGAAAACCATTCTGATGTCTCATGATTCATATTATCCTCTATCTTCTTCACGTTTGAAATAAAATGCATTATATATATTTATAAAAATAACATAGAAATTAATACAATTATTTACAATGAGTGATAGAAGTGAGTTAAAAGTAAGAAGCCACAGTTTTCTTTAGTTTCATTTCTGTATATGAATAAGAAAATCTCTTATTGATACCACATATACTAGGTAGTGGTAGTCAGAGGCGTAGAGTATAATCAGTCTCTGAATTCAATAGTTTGTATCAATAACACACTGCTGTATCTTGCATAGTCTTCTGTGACTAAAACAGGAATTATTGATTCCTTATCGAATATGAGTACCATTTTTCGGTTGATGGTACCAACTTGCAGAATAAAACATAATTGTATTATTGTTTTTTGCACTGTGTTATCTGAAAGAAATTCAAAAAGTAATAATACTACTTGGTTCATTCTGCAAATCGGTTCAATCAGATAAAAAAGCGACAACAAAAGATCAGTTTTGCCATAGTTACAAAACAGTATACAAGAGACTGATAATATGTTACACCTCTGTCTAGTACTACGTATTATATGTTGCACAAACAACAGATTTGATTATTTACATATAAAGACGAAATCAATTAAAAATTGTGTTTCCTTACTTTTAGCCTATCCTGCATATGATCGGATTGATTTCATCACAGCCAATACTCTGTTGTCATATTATCATTATTCAACAAAACAATTGATCGTGTATTGTGTATTAGAAAAATTTCAGGACAACATTAAACGGACAGAACATAAAAAATACTAAAAGCATACAATTGCAGAATTATTTTTATTATTAATATCCTATAAAAATGAATTTCTACTTTATGATATCATTAATACAATAATAAAAAACTTTATAGTTACTCTGCACTAAAAAAAATCAAGAAATCAAACTAATATCACAAATGTAAAGGCTATAATAAATATCACAGTAATAGTTCAAAAAAAAGAAATTTAATTAACTACATGATCCATCGAAAATAATTAAAAATCGAGCTCGCCATGATTCATCATCCGAAACAAATGGATACCAATAAATATAATTAGTATCCCAAACATTATTATGTAAATTATAAGCCATACCATCTAATGGTGGTGAATTTCCTGGTGCTGGAAATGGAAGAACTGTTGGTTCTTTATCTTGTAATATTGGACAAGCTTAAACAAAAAAACAAAAGAAAATTTTCTTTCAAAAGAAAAGAATTCTTTAAACTAACCTATTGGTGTATCAAATGATTTAACAGTAATTGTAACAAAACATTTTGAAGATAAACTTGTTTGACATGAAAATGCATCAACACCTCGTTGATAATATGAAGAATTTTTTGCTGCTTGTTGAACATCAACTTTAGTATCATATTGAATTAATGAACATGATGGTTGCATTGGAAGTAAAAATTTAATCATAGATGCTTCAGCAAGACGTGTAGCTGTTTTATTTAAACCTAACCATTCAAGTATAAGTGTTGTTTCATCAAGAAATGTATATGTTAACCATATTTCATTAAAAGCACCATATAAATTAATAGCATCAGTATCAATATTTAATAGAGCAAGAAAAACATTTTCATTATTTCGAGATCGATAAAAACTTTCTAATGTTGGTAACCAAACACGTGAAACAGGATTGGCATTTACTGTTGAATTTGGTTTATCAAAACCTAAAGATTTAAAAAAAGAATATAGATTTTGTTTGAGACGAACGGTTTGCATACTTTAGGCATCTTGAATGATCAGTTACAAATAAAGAAAGTCTGCTCAAGATGATCACTACATTTACTAACACTTGATCAACAAGATCACCGTTTTCAAGCATGTCAAGATAAAATGATCTACTTATCCATTCTATAGAGTACATCTTTATTTTTCATATCTCTCCTTCATCATAGTACAGTGCTATTTGTGAATGAGTCACATGTATATCAATTAAAGTTTGTAGGAAATGAAAAACAACCACGTTTTTTTTTCAAACATCCGATTGAGTTTATACTATAACTAATTACGGTAGCGTCCAATTGTAGCTTTTTCTATGAAGTTTTGATAGACATTCTTCTTAATCATAATTTTTCAAAAAGGAGAAACTCAAACGATATTCTATTATTGAAAGAAAAAAAATCATAGGCATTTTGCATACAAGAAAGTTTCATTTAAAAAGAAAATTATTTCATAATGATCTAATGTATTATATAATTCAAGATAAGTTTGAAATTAAATATAAATTATTTTCTACCTGCATTTCCATATGTATTTAATAATTGAACAAAATCAGTTTCATTATAAGTAATATAAACATATGTTGCTAATTGAGAGTTTTCATCAGTCCAATGAATTTTTTCATTTCGAGTTAAATTTGAAATCGATCCTAAATTTTTATCGAATGAAACATATATTGGATTTGATGAATCACGAAAAAGCACAAATGTTTCTGTTGGTGAAACAATTTTAAAATGATCTAAATTAGGTCTTGTTACATTAATAAATGCAGCGGAAAGTTCATCTTGTATTATACTATAAAGTGGATGATCACGAACTGTATTTAAATACATGTCAAAGAAATCTCGTTGTTCAAGCCAAGCCATTCGACAATTATTATAAGATTGTACTGTATTAATAACTTTTTTAAATTGTTCATTACTCCAATTGACTTGATCATATACTGATGGTAAACCCCAAGTATGTTCTACAAAATAAATTCTAGCCAAATAAGTAACCTATAACATGAAAGTCTTGTCATAGTCTATTTTTCGACCATCAATAGACAAGTGATTATTTCTATAGAAACTAATCATCTAGTAGAAATGCAGTGACATGAGATTTTGCTTATTGTAATAATCTATTTTTGTACAGAAATGAGTGCTTTATAATAGTACTGTTCCAAGATACAAAATAAGGAAACTTTTCTGATAGTTGTTCAATCTTGTCTCTGAAGGAAAATGTGAACATATATTTGAAAATAGTGAAATAGTCTCTTTCAATAGTCGAAAAATGAGCGAAAACAAGACTTGTCTTCTATAGATTGAATAAAATAAAATTTTTATTTACCAGGAATTTTAATAAGATATCGACTAGCATCAATTAATTGATCATCATTTATTGTACATAAATGACGATCAAAACATGTATTTAAAGCTCTTTGTAATGCTAGATATTGTTGAACACGTTTTGGATCTGATCCAATACCTTGTAACCATAGATCAGATATATCACGATCAAATAATTGAAATTCATCCGATATTCCTGATACATCTTCAAGAAAATTTTGAAATGATGATGAAATAATTCGAGCACCTGGATATGATTGCCGAAGAATTTCATGATTTTGATGAATTTCAGCAATGGACATAGGTGGACCTATTCAATTTTGATAACAAAAAAAAAACTTCAAAAGAAATTTTTTTCAAATTACCTTGATTATCAGTACGGAATGCAAATGCTAAACCAACACCAATTTGTGGAATAATAACAAGATCACCTAGAGATAAACCACCTGGATTTGTAAATGTTGAACCAGGATTATTTGGATAACCTAAAAAAATAATAATATTATCATAATTTTTTATATTTATTTTAAATAAATACAAACCAAATGAATGCCATGTTGCAAGTACATTTAACTCATTACTTGTTCCCCATCGAAATAAACCATTTGGTATATCAAAATTAGTTATCCCTAAAAATCAAAATCCTTTTTTTTCTTTTTCTTAACTCTATACATATAAATTCTTTATACCAGCATTAACTCCAACTGTAACCATAGGTTTATATGAACAATATTGTGAAAAATATTGATTTAATGATCGAATAATTGCCATTGGAATTCCAGGTACATCACGTACACTAACAACACATGGAACAGGAACATGAAAACGTTTTGCTAATGAAACAGATAAATCTAATGAAAGATTTAATGCACGCTCATCCATCCATTCATATTGCATATTCATTGCACCAGCATGCCATGTTATTGCACCAATACGTATAGCTCGTTCAATTAAATCTAATTCATCATTTGATGGACATTGTAATTTTATACCAGCAAGAATAAAATTTGATGGACAATTAAAAAACATACTAAGTAACCATGGATGTGTTGTATATACAAATGAATCATCGGGTGATATACGACGAATTTGCTCAGCTAAAATAGCTGCACGAGGAAAATATTGATGAAAATATATATTAAGAATATTATTTATGAAACCCGTTGTTGGAATTCCATTATAACCAACATCTAAATGATTCCTACAAAACAAAAGAATAAAACTTATTAAAGATAAAAAAAAAACTAGATTTTACATATTAATAACATGTATACGTGTTATATTGGATAGAAGACGATTCCAACAAGTAAAATCTTTAGATGTTGGCCAACAAATTGTTGGTAAATCTGTTGGATATTGTATTATACCTGGTAAACTCAATCCATTATCACATACAAGATTTACTGAAGTATTATTAATTATATTTAATGTTGCTGTTGCCCAAGCTAATGTTTGTCCAGTTACAGTAACCAAATAACGGTTAAATGAATGTGACCAATCAATATTAAAAACATATTGATTACCATCACCTGGTATTGGCATGTGATAATAACCATTTAATTGAGGTATATCAGCTGAAATTTTATCATTAGCTGATACTCTTACAAATGTAATAATAATAAATAGAATACCAGTAAACATCTTAAAATATATAGAAGATAGTTCTATTAAATTCTATTTTACATTTAAAAAAAACAATAAAAATAAAAAATAAATTATTATCAACATTCATTTATTTACAATAAAATATATGAGAAAAAAACCTTTGACGTTCTGGAAGTAGATGAAAAAAGATTAGAAAAAAAGAAATATTTTATGACATGTTTTTTTTGTTTTCTTAAGAAAACAAATTTCTGTTGAAGATTCATATTGATGCAAAAAAAGATATAGCAAAAAATGTGTATCAGGATTTATCACAAAGGAGAATTCAAATGACTGACCAAATAGTTCTTCGAAAACTATTAGATAAATTAGAAAAAATGAATTGAAATTCGAAAATTACAGTGGGGGGACTAATTGAATTTTTTCTCTTTGTTATTTTATTACTATTTTTCTTTTGTTTATTAACTTACTATATATTGGGCGAAAACCCGAAACGCGCTGCATTTTTTGGTATATTTTTGCTGAACACCATATTCATTTTTAAGTGTAAAAAATGTATTAGACAAAAAATTAGCATTTTTTTTTACTACAAGGTGTCCATAATTTTGTAAGATTTTTATTTCACATATATCTTAGGTTACATAAACGATAAAATCTTGAATTCTGTTCCAAAAGATGCGCCATGAAAAGTTCTATAAAAGCTATATGATTGAGTTCCTGTTCGAATGGGTTTTCAATACTCAAAATGAATAACTCACATGAGTGTCACTTCGCATAATACTAAAAATGTTTTGAGGACTTTTTCATTCGCTATAGAATTTGATCGATACAACTTTCGTAGAACTTTCGACGGCGCATTTTCTAAAGAAAAACTCAATATTCTACTGCTTTCTTAAGTCAAGATATATGTAGAATAAAAAGAAGTCTTCTAACATTTTCAGAATGATAAGAAGTGACTCTGTCATGTAAGTTGTTTATTTTAAGCATAAGTAAAAACATTAGGAAAGGTAAAAGGGTATTCAATCATACAACTTTTAAAGAGCTTTGCACGGCACATCTTTTGAAACAGAATTCAAGGTTTTATCATTTACCTAACCCGAGATATATGTGAAATAAAATATCTTACAAAATTATGGACACTTTGTAGTAAAAAAAATGTCACTTTTTTGTCTAATACACTTTTTATACTTAAAAATGACTATGGTGTTTAGTAAACATATACCAAAAGATGCAACGCGTTTCGGGTTTTCTCTTAATATATAGTAGGTTGATAAAAAAAAAAAAGAAGCATAGTAATAAAAAAACAAAGGGAGAGCATTCAATTGACCCTCACTGTATAATGTGAAATATGAGTCATGTCATTTGGTAAAACAATATTTCAGTTTATTATTCAGAAATCATTTTCCTATCTAATCAAATTGTAAATTTTTCTTGCAATAATTATTTATAATATTTGCTTTCGAGAATAAAAAATTTATAAACAATTTTTAATAATGTATATACGAAACGTTTCAGTAGGTAACATAAAGCTTTATCGTCTTGTCCATTGTTTCCTTTCTACTCAAACATTCTTTTTTTTCGTCTTATTTCCTGTGTGATATATTCGTTTACTCAAATAAAAAAGGAATAAACATTTCTGTTTATGTTAATTTAAAGACAATGTCTATATATGAACCTGACACGTTTCGAAATATGCATAGAGTAATATAATATTCATTCTATCAATAAATCGAGTTACTCGATCAAATTTAAATACAGTAGATAGACGTCGTTTGTGTAACTAAACGATGCATGGATGGAAAAGCATACTCTTATTAGAAACAAACCAGATTGTTAGATTATGTCTTGCAAACAAAACACATACTGTAATTCAATTTATTTTTATTTCATATACAAATGAAATTTATCTATAAAAATGGAAATTTGAAGTGAGAAAAACAAAAAAAAAATGTTCTGTTCGTGAAGATATAAAAAAAAGTTAAACCTTCGATCATGATCTTGATGTTTGTTATTGTTGTGTTGATGATCCTGTTGTTGTTGTTGCTGATTCTTTCGATGGTAAATGTGAAATAATATCATCAAAATTTGATTCAACTGTATCAATTTTTCTATCTAATTCGTTTATACGATTCATCCATTGATTACTTGCAGCAAGAAACTTTTTTTCCATTTGACGAAAAATTGTATTAACCTATTTCAAATTAATGAGTAAATAATCAATTTTACACATTAAAAAAATAAATTACATAAGCTGTTAAATTGTTAACATTATTTAGGATACAAGGTAATCATTATAATATTTGTACCATTAACACAATTTGTTCTTAAAGATGATGGTGAAAGTGTTCGTGTATTAGTCATTCGTTTTTTTTCCGAAATATAGAAAATATCAAATGAAAGTTAAGAATTTTGCGAAACAAAAGTTGGGTGGAGTGACCGAAGTGATTTTTGGGTTGTTTTTTTTCGGGTAATAATAATTGGTCGAAGCCGAAGCCGAAGACCAAAGCGACCTAAAGAGTTAATTGGTCGTTGAGAAATATTCAATAATCCAATAACAATAACTGGTAGTTCATAGTTTACCTCATAATGATTAACATATAAGTGTTTTGATCTAGATGATGCTTTGTCGATCAAACATATAGATTCAAATATTTTGCCTTTTGATAAGTCCATCTATCCTTTAGATGATGTTGTGTTAATCAAACATGTAGATTCAAATTTTTTCTCTGTTGATAGCTCGGCTAGGTATCATACATAAAACTAATCAAATGTACAATTTGTTTTTGTATCAAATGAATCGTAATTGCACTAATTTTAGGCAAATAATTAACTAAAAGACTAACTTTCCTTGCAAACACGTATAATATGTATCATATAAGAGCGCCATCTCATATGTTTAATGACGCTTTTAACACATTATATGTACAGCAATACAATAGCTAATCAACGAATTGCACACTACTTCGGACTTTGGGTATGGGGCTTCGACCAATTATCATTCAAAGACAGTTTGATAGTCACATTCAAAATAACATGTGTCTATTAGAGAGGCAAATATAAACATAAATCTTATGATGGAGATATTGATATAAAAAAATCGAGTTTTTATGAATCTTATTAGTTCGATCTCAGTTAATGATATTCTTCAAGGTGTCATTAGTCTTCATCTCTTTAGAATTTGAATAATTTTGATATTGTTATATTGTCATCCTTAGAAAATATTTTAAGTTCATAAAAGATTATTTTTATAACTTTATCTATTTCTTAATGTACATTTTGAAATTAGTATTTTTTCAAATTTTTATCTTCTGTTCTATTTTGTTCATTTTCATATTGTTTATGTGAATTTTCTCATTCGTTTGGATGAATAATCTTTTCAATCATATATTCTTTCTATTATAGTATCATTTTTCTTTTTCACTCATAGTAGTAATCGAGTCTTTCGTCGTAGCCTTTTCATGTTTATTTTTGTACAGTTTGACATATATAGTTTTTTAAGCAATTTATAGCATTCTTTTTCGTATAATCAGTTAAGAGTTAATACAGTGGCTACACCGTCATGCTCAATGAGTGACTGAATAAGAGTTAGGTCTTTATGTCAACTGAGTATAGTAAATTTTCGATGATAATTCAGATGTAACAAATATATTTTTTCAATGTCTGTCCATCTTTATATATTAGAAAAATATTTGAAAAAAAAAAGAATTCAAAATAGGGTGAAATCTATCAAGCAATCATTATATATATGCTACTGTCATAGAACTTGCAGTAGTTAGATGAGCTTTTTTATATATTTCAAACAATCTCAATCTATGAAAGATGATTGTTCTCTTTGAACATACATTCACTGGAAAAAATCGAATTCATCTAGATACATGCTTTTGATAATGATATTTTCGTTTAAATTTCAATGCGATTCTAGAAGTTGCTTTTTTAATTGTTTGTCTAGCTAAGAATTTGTAAGATACAAAGGTTATATATTACATGCATATTTAACCTATTTCTCACAAAATATTCACCTTGTTAGTTTTTATACTTGCACAAAATAAATTCTATAAACTATAGGGAAACCAAAATACTTAGCAATTATTTGATTTAGTTTTGATAAGATAAATTGATATAAACACTAGGTTGATAAAATGTAATAAGTATATAACTATAAAGCGAAAGAAAAAAAAAGTACTTTTATGCTCAATTTTGTAAGGAAAATATGCGAAAATTCCAAAACAAAGTCATACTAGCTGGTAGAGAAAATATTATCTATCGGTTGGTAAAGAAACATCTATGGAACCAATCATTATCGTTATCGGTTACAATTGTGGCGCGAGATCTGACTGTTATTGTTCATGTCGGTGTGGATTTAGCTATGAGCCAAATGAAAACTCGCATCCAATTCTAACAATATAGTTGGTCTTTCGATTCAATTTGATCTTGATTATTAAAAATTGGCTTTTAGTTGGTGGTTGTATTTTCTTAATTAGCTAATTGTAATGTTAATAAAATAATGCAGCATAAAATTCTGCATTGACTGATGTGAATTTTTTCGAATTCAGAAAAATCTCTTTATTATAGGATACGCGAAAAATTGGGAGTGTCTCAAAGTTTTGTTCACTACTTTAAATAATAATATTCTCGGTTTTAGTCATATCATCTTCAAGCTTCGAACTTTATCGTACCTTGTTTTTTTTTATTCTCTTTTTTTTTTTTTTTATACTTTTTAGACTGATCTGACGAAATAAAAAAAGATAACAATATCAAAGATAGAAACGACGAGAAGAATGTGTAGTTAATAATAGCAAGTCTTAACTTATCAGCAGACACACATACTTGGGCTTGCTATTCTTTATTCGATTTAATCATGCTTACTGGTAACACAAAACGTTTTATTATACGTCCACAAACAACTTGGGTTATTTTTCAATTCAAAAAACGGCATAGTTCAACAACATCATCAAACAAATTAACTTCTAGTTATTTCCATCATGTTTCTTCACTTCCATTAGTTTATAAAACAATAAGTCAAAGTTTTGATGAAATAGCTGCTAAATATCCTGATCATGAATGTTATATTTTTAAAAGTATATCAATCAAATAATTATTAAACTTCAGAGTCATAAGATAAATATTTTAGATGAACAAAAACGATATACATTCAAAGCATTCAAAGATGAAATTGATAGTTTAGCAGCATCTCTTCTTGAATTAGGCTTTGAAAAAGGTGATCGATTTGCTGTTTGGTTACCAAATACACCAGAAAATGTTGCCATGTCATTTGCTGCATCCAAATTAGGTCTTATCAAAGTAAAACATTATTTTATTTTGAAATATTCACTATGATAATCATCTTAGGTTAATATAAATCCAGCTTATGTTGGACGTGAACTTGAATATTGTATCAATAAAGTTGGTTGTAAAGGTATTATACTTTCACCAACAGTCAAAATCATCGAATCATTATCATTATTTCGTCGACTTGTGCCAGAAATTGATAAACATTCAACATCTCGAGAACTTTCATCAAAAGTATTACCAACATTGAAACATGTTATTCTAACTGGTAAACAATCATCTATATCTGGAATTCATTCATATAATGATATAATTGAACGTGGAGCAAAATTATCACATAATACATTAAATGAACGACAAGCATCTGTTAATCCTGATTCACCTGTTGCAATCTATTATACATCAGGTACAACAGGTCAACCAAAAGCAGCAACATTAACAAATTTTGGTATACTCAACTTAGTACATGCTCAATGGGAACATCTTGGACATTTCTTTACTCGTCTTTGTGTTCCTATTCCATTTTTTCATATGTTCTCAGAAGTCGTTGGTGTACTTAATGCTGCTGTAGCAAAATGTCAAGTTGTTTTTCCAGCTATTTTACCTGATACGGTTTCGACAATGAAATCTATACATGAAGAAAAATGTACCGCAATGATTGGTGCACCAATTATCTTTCGAGATATTTTAACACATCCAGATCGAAAAAAATATGATTTAGGTTCATTAACATTTGCTGCACTTGGTGCAAGTCCTATGCATTATGATTTCTTACGCCAATTAGAAACAGAAATTCCAATAAAACGTGTTGCTCAAGGTTATGGATTGACGGAAAATGCTGCGATACTTACAAGTGGTATGTGGGCTGGTGATGAAGATTCAAAACGTCGTCTAGGATCACTTGGACGATGTATGCAACGGTTAGAAGTCAAAGTTTCTGATCAAGAAGGAAATGTTGTACCCATTGGGCAACAAGGTGAAATTTGGGCAAGAGGTTATCCAATTATGGTTGGATATTATGGTGATCCAGAAAAAACACAAGAAGCATTAACACCATCAGGATGGCTTCGAACAGGTGATCAAGCAACAATGGACGAAGATGGTTATCTTTATTATGTTGGACGTCAAAAAGAGATGATTATTCGTGGTGGTATCAATATTTATCCAGTTGAAATTGAAAATACAATAGTTGAACATCCAAGTGTTGCTGAAGCACAAGTTTTTTCTATACCTGATGAACGTCATGGTGAAGAAGTATGTGCATGGATTAAATTAAAACCAAATGCACCTCCATGTCAAACAGAAGATATTAAAAAATTTCTTGCTGATAAGTTAGCATTTTTTAAAATACCAAAACATATTCGATTCGTTGATAAATTCTTCGTGACACCAACAGGAAAAGTGCAAAAATTTAAATTATCTGAAGCCATGGTTAATGAATTGAAAGAAGCGAAAAATAAACAATAAATTTTAATTTTTTTTGTTTTTTCATAATTATTTTACGTAGAACAGTGACTTTTCATCTTTTTTTTTCTAGTAGATTAACAATTGGTAGATGATTCATAGAAACATTATGGAGAAAACAATAAATATGTGACTTTAAAGAAAGATCATGATTGAATTGATGTTGTTAATAAACAATAGTATTTATATGTAGAAAGTAGTTTACAATAGAATAGAGAATTAATCTAAGAATAAGATTATCTTTCGAATAACTTCATTATATTGCATAGACATGAAACAAATTTACGAACAAGAAAAATACTGATACGCCTAAAGCAAGCGATATGAATAGAATGTAATATATATATAGTCATGTTCCACTTTTGTTAGCACTGCTACCGATATGCATGAATAGCGAGCGCATACCAGCAGTGGATTGGCGGTCGGGGAACAAGTATAGGTACATTGGAATGGAACGACGGCCAGAAGATAGTTGCCTGTCTGGGTATTAACTTACCGTCAGTAAATACAGCCATTGTAGTGCATATTACGCTGAGCGATCTGCAGAAGATTTATTGGCGATTTGTTTTCTGATTTGAATCACGTCTGTATTTCTATAGTACAGCAACCTACTTGTGGCAATTACAAAGAAACATACTGGAAACTAATATCGAATTCTTATATTCACATGGGCACTCTCAAACAATACACTTTTTTTTGTGTATTTCACCAGGCGGTAATTTCACTCGAATACTTATGCAATATCCACGATATTCTAACAATTTGTACGGAAAATAAAAGTAAATAGGTTTTTTACAATTTGAATGGTTTAATTGTTTTCTTTTCTTAATAAGCAAGTACATTCTTTAAAGTTTTATTCACTATATGTTTTTTTGATAGAAAAATTATTTGTTGAATCTAGCAGCAAAATGACTAGATGT